TGAGCACTGGGTGGTTGTGAACACAGGTGGTTGTGAACAGAAGAGGCAGATGATTCTGGAGTGGCTTCTCTACTTCAACTGGAACCTTGATTCCAAGTTTCATCACGGCATCTTTAAAAATAAAAGTGGGGTTCAACAATGTGTCCCAAAAATGAAGTGCCTAACAGCAGTGGCGGGAGGCAGATCCACACTGTCTCTTTTTAGTCTTTTCCTTTTTTATTTATTTTTAAAATTTACATTTTAAATTATGTGTGTATGTGTTATGTGTTGGGGTCTATTCACAGTGAGTGCAGTTGCCCACAGGCCGGAAGAGGGCATCTGACCCCCTGGACTGAGCCGCCTGGTGCCAGGGCGGGGAGCAGAGTCCTTTACAAGGGCAGTGTGTGTCATGACTCCAGCTCCTCTGCCTGACTTCAGAAAGTATCTTTAGGTGGGTGATGTGGGATTCCCCTGTGTATGCTGTGAACACCATGGGTTAATAAAGAAGCTGCTTTGGGCCTGTTGCAGCGCAGAATGGGGCAAAGTGGGAATTCTAAGGAGACAGAGGAGGAGAGAGTAAGTGGAGTCAAAGAGGCACCATGTAGCAACCAGAGGACCGGTAAACCATGAGCCTCGTGGTAAAATATAAAATATTAGACATGGGATAATTTAAGATATAAAAACTAGCCAATAAGAAGCATGAGATAATAGGCCAAGCAGTGTTGTAATAATACAGTTTCTGTATGATTATTTTGGGTCTTGGCAGCCGGGACACAAATGAGCAGCCTCAACTTACAGGTGGCCTATCCAGAACTTTGAGACCAGCCATTGCTGTAGCTTCAGCTCATCGTCGTCAAGTGCCTTTTTTTTTTTTTGAGATTTATTTATTTACCATGTATACAGTGCTCGGCCTGCATACCAGGTAAGGGCACCAGATCTCGTTACAGATGGCTGGGAGCCACCGTGTGGTTGCTGGGAATTGAGCTCTGGAAGAACAGCCAGTGCTCTGAACCTCTGAGCCATCTCTCCAGCCCAGGTTAAGTGCCTTTTCAGGAGGAGGAAAAGCACACCCTGGATGCTGGAGGGAGAGGGTGGCCCTGGCTTCACACCCACGCCCTGGACACTGGAGGGAGAGCATCACCCTGGCGATCCAAAGCTCTGCCACTGCTGCTGATGACTGGGTGACAAACCTGTCTCCCTGCCCAGGTCCCTCCTCGTCGAGGGACAGAAGAATTCAACAGAAAGAACCTTACTAGTCTGAGAACTTCTGCCCTAGCTTATCTGAGTGACCGTGAGCAAGCCATTGAGGATTTCTGTCTCTATTCATCTGTAAACTCAGGTGGCTAGAGGAGAATTGTCTTGGTGGTTACTACAAACATGAAAATTTTTATGCTCCCTAAGATCGAAGCCCTGTTTCTGTCCCTCTCCTTCTTCCTGGTCTCCTCCATCGTCACTCAGGCTGGAACAAGTCTGCATTCTCACCATGAGCCCCAGGACCCGAATTTGGCCCTTCCACCATCTTTCTATGCCATACCTTCACTGGGACATTCAGTTTTCCAGGTAACCACCTTAATAAGACCTTAACCCACTTTGATGCAGATATGACTCCATTATAATCTGCTTTCGGGTCACCTGCCTGGACGGGTCTCTAGGCACCATTTTCACCTCATCTACCCATACCATAGCGCTTACGTCACAAAATTATCTCCTTAACTTTGTGAGTACGTTTTACACTTGTTATCCCTTTTTTGTGGCTTCTAAAGCAGGAGCTGGCTACTGGCATTTATGAACTGCTTCTTGTTGAATAGAGGAGAGGACACAAAACACAAAAGGATGCATGTGCCATCATGAGCTGGGCTGCAGAACTTGAACCATAAAGAAAAGCCAAGCGTAGACTTACTCAGCTCATTTGAAAGGCACACATGCACTTTCAGTGGGGCTAGCCTACTAGAACACCTCACTCAAACACCACACAGTCTAGATCCAACATTGAATCCCCACCCCAGACCCTGGCATAGTCCCCATTTCAAAACTAACAAACTAGCCTTTCCTTACCTATCGGATAAAATTTAAAAACAAACCACTATCTCTCTTTCCAGCCTTTTGTGATACCGTTTGACCTCACTTTCACTGACGCTCTTCAGTGGGTCTGGAAGATGGGTAGAATTCAGCTCCTTTGGTGGTCAGAACTACAAAGATGTGAATATTCACAAACACAACTCCACTATTTACTGTTTGAGACACTCTGCTGTGGGACAAGGATCTTACCCTGTAAACATGTGTTTCTTGTACTTGTTTAATAAAATGTTGATTGGCCAGTAGCCAGGCAGGAAGTATAGGTGGAGCAATGAGAACAGGAGAATTCTGGGAAGAGGAAAGATTCAGTGTGCAGCCATCCCCAGATGCAGAGGAAGCAAGATGAGAATGCCTTACTGATAAAGTTACCAAGTCATGTGGCTAACACAGACAAGAATTATAGGCTAATATAAGAGTTAATAAGAAGCCTGAGCTAATAGGCCAACCAGTTTATAATTAATGTAGACCTCTGTGTGTTTCTTTGGGACTGAACGGCTGCGGGACTGGGAAAGACAGATAAACCTCAGTCAACACCACCTGAATGGTTACTTTGCTTCTCTGGCTTTAGTGTCCCTAATTAAACACAACAGACCTCTCAATGTCCTTAGACTCTACTAGGGTGAAGGACAGATCATCTGCAAGGAAATCGAAGTCCCTGCCATGTATAACCAAGTATGACATGTTCAAGGCTACAGTTCACCTACGTCTTGTCTCCCAGGGAAGTCATCCAAACTGGCAACAACAGGTCTCCATGGGGGAAATCTCTGTCTGGATAATGAGTGTCTTGATTGGTTCTGTGAGTAATGAAAATGTAGGCAAGTCAGAAAGCTATAATCCTAGTTAGGTGTTTTCCCTCATAGTGTAAAGGTTATTCCCATTTAAGAACGTTGGAAAGAGGAGATCCACATAGTAACAAAAGATACCGGGCCATATGTGTCAAGTTGTCTTTCCCTGAGATGATAATTTGAAGCCCTAGCTCTCAGTACCTCAGACCGTGATCTTCTATGGAAATAGAGCCATTGGAGGTAAATGCATTAAGCTGAGGTAAGACTGGAGTAGAGTGGACCATTAAGTCATGCTGGTTGGTTTATTCATAAGACAGGGAGAGAGGCTCTACAGCTGCTGTTGGCTGAAACCAATTGCTGTCAGCTGTGCCCAACTCCACCAAGTTCCTTGACATCACAGCTAATGGTGAGACCCTGGGCCAAGACTGCTCTCACCACTTGCAGACAAAGTCTCAAAGACAGCAGAAAATCTTCATGATCTGATCACTGGAGAGAAAGCATTTTGTCACAAGAGTTCCCTTTTTACAGAATCATGCAAGGGTAGTGGTGTCCCACACCACAATGATGCTCACAGAAAGTCAATCTGAGAATGAGAACTTCATCCTGAGAAACACATCATTCTGGTACTTTGCTCATGGAAAATGCTGCACTAAACCCAAATGGCTACAAGTGATAGAACGGCAAGTCTATAGTCTTTAAGAAGGTGAAGAGGCTTGAGCATGGTATGTCAGGAGCCTTTATCACAACCTATTGGGGGCCATGATGCAATTACAGCTTATATCAATTGCTAATCAGATGTCAACCCACCAGAGGAAGTGTTCCCTGATGGGGTACTCTGTGAGCAAGTTTGGTGGACCACTGACTCTGGAAACTGTTGCTTTCATCTGTGATTTCGCCTGTGCAATAACAACTATATTTTCCCATTACCATGCGTTTTCATGAAATGTGTGATTGCATCTCAATCTTATGGGCACATATATCGGTGAATGATCAGGAAGATGGCTTCTCATTTAGATATATGATTTTGATATATAGAATATATACTAGGACATGCTTCATAACTCCATGAGGACTACAGATACTACAAAGTCTGCTTTGTTCCTTTTAGCTCAGACTAACTGTACACTCACTTTCACCTCAAAACAAGTTAAAACTAGAATAAAGGATTTTTGTAAATAGATCATAAGTTTGGAACTTTACAGCTATGCACGAGATCAGAGCCGCAGATGTCTGGCCAAGGTTCTACAAAAAGCACCCCGAGAGAAGCTTGCCAATTCTTTGCTTGCCAGTCTGTGGACAATAGACCCATGTCTCCAAGTTTGTCATTGGACAATGTGCCCACCCCCGTATGGTTACAGTTTTACTCTTGAAACCTTGAATCCCTTGTGTTGCCATGGCAACAACTCGACTCCTTTTCACTTACCCTAGCAATGTGCTTTCTACCAATAAGAGGTAACTCTTGTAATTTCTTTATTGCTGCAAGGCTCCTGGGAGAAAGAGCGTTTTTAGGCTAAGAGAGAAGAAGCCAGGAGAGAAAGTTAGAAGAAATTAGAATTAGGACAGGAGAATTAGAACAGAAGCAGAAAAATAAAAAAAAAACTGATTCAGTAAATCACATGTGAGAGAGTTTTTTCGTTCGCCCTCAGTTAGCAGAGAAAAAAGTCCTTTCGCTTGCTGCAGCGTGCAATTCTGAACCCTGCAGAGTGTCTTGGGGCCCCAAAGATTGTTGTTAATGGTAGAAGCTGTGGGGTGCTCTGTGGGGAGGAACAGCAAGACAAGTAATAAGACCCCCATCGCCAACTGTTGACAGCTCTGGTGCTTTTAACTCGTATGCATCTATTTCCACTACCAGACCGGCCATTCCTTCAGTGTCTTCCTCTTACCTGGTCACAAGAACCTGTGATCTTCATGTTCTTGCTGCAGCTCTTTGAGTTCCATATTTTCTTCATTCTGCTCCAAGTCTGGCTGCCTTGTAGAGTCACATTGGTGGTTATGAATCAACGCTAAATAAGAAAGAAAAGGTAGGACGAGGTGTGAAAACACAGTCAAAAGTGGTAGGATATCATGAGATGGTGGGGGTCGCGGCCGAGGTGCTACAAGGCAGGGGTAATCGAGGTTTTCCAGAGAATCACCCAGAGGCAGTGAGGACTTCCCTACAGAGTTCTCAGGGAGCATGGCCCTGCAACACCATGCATTGGGACTTCTGGGCTCTCAATTGTAGAGAGAATATCCACGGTCTTAAGCTACTGAGTTTGTGGGGCTTGTTATAGCAGCCTAGGAACCTTCCAGAAATAAAGAAAATCCATTCCTATACCATCAGACTTGAAATAAACCTGGAGTTTGTTAAAAATTGAAAGGACCCCTCAGTGGCTTTAATGAGCAATGTCCCCCATAGGCACAGGTAATTAACACTTGGTCTCCTGTAGGTGGTGCTGTTTGGGAGACCATGGAGCCTTCAGGCAGTACAGCTGTGCTGGAAGCACACCACTTGGGTTTTATAGCCTGTCCTGCCTCTGGTTTGGTCTCTTTGTTCCCTGCATGTGGATGGAAATGTGACCTCTTAGATTCCTGCTCCAACTGGCTGCTTCCCTCACCACTATGGATTCTCCCTCTCGAGCCATACGCGAAAATGAACTCTTCCTTCTATAAGTTGCTTCTGGTCATCATCTTTGACCACAGTAGCCAAAAGTAACAAATACAATTCCTGAGATAAAAATCTCTAAAACAAACAGAACCGCGATGTTTAGAATATTATCCCAGTTCTTACTTGGCCGTGGAGAAGTGCCAGCTTCACAAAGCCCAAGCCAGGAACTTTTCTAGATGGTACAGCACGGGAAAGGAGCATAGGTTTGTTTGACCCCTGTAGATGGGATTTCAAGTCTGATAAATAAAAAAGACCCAGAGAACACTTCTTGTTCCTACCACATTGATATATGCTAACCGCCATCAGTCCATAAGAACTCCGCCCTTACTAGATGCCAGGTCTACTAGTGCCTCTGTCTCTAAACCTCTGGCATCTAGAGCTGTAGACACTTCATACACTGCCCACTCTATGTGACTTTGCTACAGCAGCAGAGTGAACTGAAACAAAAGGGGCCACAGACACAATGGGGGGCAGTTCCCCAGAGTGATGTCACGTGGATGGCAGTGAGCCCTGTTCTTTCTCTTTGCATTGCTGAGATATAAGAGCAATACTTCAGGGAACAAGATGGGGAAAAGGAAAGGAAGCGCTAAAGAAATATCAGAACTTCCTGGCAACAGGGAAATTGGGATGTCAAGCAATTAATCAGGAAAATTTAAAACAATTTTCCTCTGTTAAAATCCCAAGTTGACAAGGCAGGTTAATGGGCAAAGGGGCAGAGCCCAGCAGAGCTGCCGAGCGTGGCTGTGGAGCGTGAAGCGTTCCAGGAATAACCGATGAGAAAATCTATTATAGGAAGGTTCAAAAGAGATTTTATGAAACCTATAGTCCAGTTTGTTGAACCAAATCTCTGAATAGGCTTCAAATAAAATCCTCTCTCCGCAGAAGTGAAGCTATTACTCAAAATCAACCAAGAGCAAAGGAGCCGCACAAAAGCAATGAGAGCCTGGTCACCTGCTTCCATGCAGAACCGACACCAGAAAAATATCCATTTTCTTGGCTATAGTTTGTCATTGGTTATTCCACACATTCTGTGTGGAAAAAGCAAGGGATGTATCCAACCTTACACAGCTATAACATGGATGCATCAGTGGGTCTTTCATGAGCAAAACAGACAAGCTAGCAAAAAGTCTGATGAAGGAGCCACCTGCATGACCTGCGCACTATGAATGGTACAGCCATGCTTCGTTACACTGAGGGGGTTCAAGTGGCTTCTTGGAGCAGTCTGTGGATTTTCTGTTAAAATGGATGTCGCACAATAGGTACTCATAAGGGCTCAAAGAATGCCTACGGGGTGTGTTATTGCATAGAACAGGGAACTTTAAAGGGAGTTAATACAGCCCCCAATGATAGAAATCAAGATGTTTTCCCTACACATAGAAAAGATCCTAACTCTAGAGAGAGTCATAAAAGAAGGGATGAGAACTAAGCCAGGAATCAGAACCCTCGCGTCAGCACGGGCAGCATGTGTTACTTGCCACATGTCAGCCTTCGTCATCTCGGCTACAACTGTCCTTCACAATGAGCACAGTGTGGGAAGTCAGACCAACTCAAGACATTCTTAGAGGAGTTGGTGAAAGGGAATTTTAGTTCTCTGTCCTTGTCTTGGTGTGACTAGGTCTGGAGCTTGTGCCTCCAAGAAGTCAAGGTTGTGGCGTCTGGGGACCCAACTCTTCTCCCTGGGCTGTGGTTATCCTTCCAAGGCAGCTGTGTCCCAAGCGTTCTGCGTTCTCTTTGCCAACATTGTCTGATTTAGCTCTCTGCTGACATCAGCCATTTCTGCCCTGTAAATGGTATAAATGATGCTGTGCTTGTTAGCAAATTTGCTTGGTGTAAGCCATAGGTTATGCAAGGCCTCCTGGTCCCAGCTATTGCTTTCAAGTTCCTTATTTCTCATCCCTGCCCCTCCCACGCAACACTATGTTGTTGAGGTCTACGCTGTTCCCTTTAGGACCCTTGTCCAGCACAGCAGCCCTTATCTCCAAGGATACCTGAAACCTTAATGGGTTAATACCTTCTATGTCAGTTCATGAATAAAGGTGAAGTAAAGAGGGCTGAAGACTAATGGAAGGGTCATTTCTTCTACCTTCTTGGGCAGTGCTGAATAAGGCAGGTTATTGTTTTGTTTTCATACCTACTGTCTCCTTCTATGATTCCTCTCATTCTTTTTCTTTATCTGCTTTACATAAACATACACGGCATGTTTCCTCCTCTTCCACCAGAGCTCATGCCGACTCCTTCAGAACAAGGGCATAGAAAAGAGGACAGTTACTCATGCAGAAGATGTCTGCGAGCGCTTCCTCCAAAGGAAGCCCTGTGTTAGCGGCTGGGAGTGATGGGAAGATGTTTAGGACGCCATCTGTGCTGTAAGCGGTCGATAAACACAAACGCATGAATATGATTAACAAACCTGGCAGGTCTGCGAAGAGAGCTCAGAGGGTCATGAAATGGAGTTCACAGACAATCCAGGAAAGGAAAGCATTCTTGGAAGCCTGAAGGAGGTGTTGAGAGCCCCGTGGAGTTGAGAGAGAGTTCAACTCAATGTGGGAAGGTTAGTTGCATCCCTTAGCGAAAGGTGATGCAAGCCAAGCCCTAACTGGGCGATTCTGGATTTTGACTGGTAACGAGTCTAATTTGGTTCAGCAGAGGTTGTCTATAGTTAACTTTTGGCTTGTTAGTTCTCATTTAGAAAATTCAGTTAGGATTTAGTTGAAGCAGACATTAACTGTCAGGCTAAGACTAACATAGTAGGTCTTCAAAATGTTGGCTGTTTAGCTTTGTCTTTTAAGAATTATGAGTTGGGTTGTGAGCTTGAGGCCATGCAGGGATACACAGTGACACCCCGACTTTTTAAAAAAATGATTTGGAGACCTGGAGAGATGATTCAGTATTAAGGGCATGGAATGTTTTTGCAGAAAACCTGGTTTCAATTCCCAACACCCACAAAGTGACTCACACCCATCTATAACTTCTTCTGATCTCCACAGACACCAGACAAGCATGTGGCACACATACATACATGCAGGCAAAACAGTCGTCCACATAAAATAAAGAAATCTTAAAAAGACCCACGGCTAGAAAGCTGTACTCGCTCACAAGACGGACAGAAATCATTTCTTCCCATCTCAGTCATGTGCTTCTGTGCCTTTAAAGCGTCTCCTGGAACTCCAGACTTCAGAGTCCTCTGCTGAGAAATGCATCTTGTAATGGGCTGTATGTAGCCATTAAATGTTCCTAAGCACGAGTGGAAGGCAGGGCGAGGACAGGCTGCTCAGGAAACACTTTGATAATGTGCAAGGGATGCAGCTGAAATAAGACAACAACAAAAAGGAGACGAAGAAAGAAAGAAGCAGTAGATATCGTTTGGCATATAGTAAACACTGAATAAACGAATGGCAATAGCGGAGGGAAAGACAGGTATTGCCAAGGTCCACTTCCTAACAGCTGGTTAATTGTAGGAGACAAAAGACAGGGTTACAGAAAGAAGAGTTGTAAGCCCTGCCTCCTGGGAAAAGTGCAGGAGCAGAAACAGGCCTTAAAGCTGGAGGGGAGCTGAGGGGAGGGGAGCTGAAGGGGTGGGGAAGAACAGAACACACAACTTTGGAGAGCGATTCAATTAAAGACGTCTAGGGACATTTGAAAATTGGAGGCAGGAACTCGGGAGAAAGACCAGAGTTATTGACAGAGAAGAAATAATGCAATCAGGACTCTTGTGTGGATAAGATGACACAAAAAAAGTCCAGGAGGTGAGGCAGATTCTGGGAAAGCAGAGCGTTTATGGGAAGGGAGGGGGAGGGTGCTGAAGAGATAAAGGAATTGCTTAGAGATGAAAACCACGATCACTTTAAGTCATAAAAACCAAGAGACCTTTAAAGGGGAAAGTAACCCACGCAGGCAGGTCACAGGAGAGGAGCCAGAGAAGAGTGTGACGTTTGAGACTTACTGTTTACCAGATCAGTTTCACGTACTGAGGAAGAGGTCTGAGTCCTAGAGAGAAGAAGAAAAGGGCGGACGAGAAAGGGGAATAGTACTAATAGATCGTGTGTCTCGAAGCCTCCAAGAAAGAAACAAGGAAGCTGATGGTGTTAAGGTTTGAATCCAAAGTGTCCCTCCCAGGATCACATTTTGACTTTGTGGTCCCCAGCTTGCTAGAGCTGGTGGAGCCTTTGGAGGCCGGACCTGGCTGGCAGAAGGGTTCCCTAGGCATTTTTGCATTTGCGAGCTCTGGGCTGGCTGTGCCTGCTTCCCGGTCTATCCCACTTGAACAAGTGTTGACATGGAAGGACCTTCTTCCAGAGCTGCACCCCACTCCACCTAATCGATTGAGACCCTCTGACAGCGAGCGCCAAAACCAAGTCTTCAGGGATTTCCTCACAGAGACAAGAGAAGCAGCCAGTAGCAACTCGAGAGGGTAAGCACAGTGCAACAGGAAAGCTTTCCTTCCGTTCCTTAAAGTGGAAGATGGCCAGCAGGTTCATGAGCACCTAGGAAACAGACAAACAGTCAACAGAGGGGGAACCGACAGTGGGGAAAGATCAGTCACGTTACATTTCCAGAGTGATTAAAGCCACATTTTTTCAAAGCCGGCGACGTAGCTGGCGAAATAGAGTGCCGGGAATGCGAACGTAAGCCTGGTAATTGGACAATTATTGCGTGTACTGCTGTAATTGAAGCAATCCCATGAAATACGCACCACCTGGAAAAATGCGCATGTGTACTCAATTAGTCATCTGGCAGGAGAAGCAGCCGCTCCCCCGGTCACGTGGATGGGAGCTGCTCACCACCTTGAAACGCCGTAATGAGCTATCAGAACATCGGGCTGTTTGTGCAAGACCTGGAATCCACGGAGTTGTGGTTTCTAAGAACCCATGCTTCGGTCCTTGGGCCTTTCTGCACTAAGTGGATTGAAACTTGGTCCAAGTCAAGAGGAGCCAGAGGAGACATTAAAACCAAAACTAAGTGTCATCCCAGATGTAGTCTTGGGGTGGAGGAAAGTAAGGGATACTCAATCAAGGGTGGATATTAGTACAATATTGGTTAATTGTAATAAATGAACAATAACTATACAGGATGCTAAAAATTGTAATAACCAGAGATGGTGGAGGAAAACATATTGTCTTCTCAATTTTTCTGTAAGTCTAAAAGTGGCCTTGTGCTGGGCATTGTGGCACACACCTCCAATCCCAGCACTTGGGAGGCAGAGGCAAGCAGATCTTTGAGGTCAGTCTGATCTATACAGTGAATTCCAGAGCAGCCAGGGCTACATAGAGAGACCCTGTCTTAATATAAACAAACAAACAAACAAATAAATAAATACAAGTGGCTTTAAAAAATAAAATCTTGGGCTGGAGAAATATTTCAGTTGTTAGAGGCTGGGTTTACAACCCAAGTGTCAAAAAATAAAATCTATTAAAAATAAAAAATAGCTTGAAAAAATCCAGTACTGAAACTGCTTTGGGATCATCTTTTTGTACACTGCGAAGGTGTGTCTCTGCCAAGGCACAAATCTGATTGGTTTAATAAAGAGTTGAAGACCAATAGCTCGGCAGGAGAGGGTAGGTGGGACTTCCAGGCAGAGACAGGAACTCTGAAGAATCGGAGAAGTAGAAATTCAGCAGTGAGATGCAGAGGAAGTCAGACGGACAGTATGGAAGAGAGGTAATTAGTCACGTGACAGAATGAATGTGGATTTGTAGAAACAGGTTAATTTAAGTTATAACAGCTGGTTGGGAACAAGCCTAGGCTAAAGCTGAGCTTTCATAATTAATAAAAAGTCAAAAGTCTCCATGTCATTATTCAGGAGCTGATGGTCCAAAGAAATCCCGACTACATGAAACCTCACCTGGACATCAAACACTCCCATTGGTGCTCACAATGTAACTCTGTGGACCAAGTTATGCTTTAGATTTTTGAGCTCCGCTGCACCCATATGCTAACATGGGTGTGTACCTACTAGAAAGTTGGTCCCGTTGAGGGGGTG